TGGATCATTTGTCCTTGGTGCTGGAGCAGAATTGTTTTGTCTCCCTACTCTGTGAAGAGAACTCACCAACACTTAATATGAAGCCCAGACCCACACATTGAAGCAACACAGAACCTGAAAAATAGAAAAGCTAAGAGGCATCACAATTATAATTCCAGGTAGGAGCCAGGATTAGGAGATGTCCCTCCCAGCCTGGTTTAGGAGATGTCAAAGTCACTTTATTCTCCTGGGTATCCAGGCCTTGAAATATGGCCCTGGAAACTCCTATGGAAAGTAAACTCAAGTTACAGTAAAAATAACTTCACCAATGCTCTGGGTTCTCATTTGTAAATGGACCAGGGCTTTAGCACAGCCAGGGTTTGGTGCTACTTCCTCAGATTGCTTTTAGGTTCATTAAGCTCCAACTTCAGGAAGAAAATGGTAGCATTTGATTTATGGGCACGGGGGAAGAAGGATGAAATGAGCAATAAATCTCCCAACAGTGCTGTTCCTCCAGCCCTCTGCAAGCCAGAGCAAGGAGCTCCCAGATTCCAGCCCAGGATTAACACCTGATGGCCAGGGAAAAATAATCCCCCTGCTCCGTGCCTCAGTTTCCCTGATCAGAATAAGGTGCTGCCAACTGTGAGGTTGAATTTTAGGACATTTAAATAGGAAACTGCTGCCTTAAAATGGGTTATTTGTGACTTCTGAAGCAAATATGAGAAAATGAATGGATTTTCTGCCTGCTTTTTGCCTCTTTTTATTGCCTTCAAGGAGCATGGAGGTTTTCTGGACAGATCAATGGAAGTAACACCCAACAAATGACCTTTCCTCAGTGTCTTATAAGTACCTGTCAACTTCAGGAGTGCCACCACCCTTGAATGGAGAGATTTAAAGCCAGACTATTCATTAGAGAGCAAACTATTATTCCAGAGGTTTAAATTAATTGGCCAGTGGCCAGCCTTCCTCACTGCTTGGGGACTACTGGGAAAAGGGAAAGTGGCTGCTGTAGGGTTTGCAAAAAAGCAAAAACATTAATAGGATTTAAAGAGCAACAAGAACCAGGCTGTGATGGTCTGACACTGGCAGAAGGTGGCACGAGGAGTAAGAAGATTTAAGCACCATCGAGGAATCACAAAAACAAGTCTGTAAATAGCAGAGATGGTTCCTATTTTATGGCATCACTAAATCAACCAGCTGGGCTGACTCTGAGGAATGACATCAAAAGGGGAAGAGGTTTGGAGAGCACCTCAAAAACCCAATTTTTGCTGCAGTAGATACCACTCACTCGCCACATGCAGTTCTGAAATAAAGCTAAATATTCTTTGGTATAACTCAGGTTTGCATTAAATCTCAAAGCAAGAGTTACAAACCTCACCCAAAATTTGCTTACCCTGCTGAAGAACCCTGAGTTGGTTCTGGGTTACTCTATTCTGCAAATGCACCAGAATATTGCCTTTTATTCTCCATGAAGGCAGCAATTAAACCTGTGCATGTCTGTTTTCCATCCAAAGCTGCACGACAGCAGCACCACAAGATTTTCATCTGGGTTAAAGTTGGCTCCAGTGTTGCTGACAGCCCTGGGGGAAATATTTTACCACAATCTCAGTCTGCAGCTTCTGTCTCGCTGCTGCTGGTGAAGATGGTCACCTTCATCAGGTCATGGAATCTTCCAGAGACACCTTCCACTACCCCAGGGTGCTCCAAGCCCTGTCCAAGCTGGCCTTGGGTATTTGGGGTATCCAGAACGTCTCTGGGCATCCTGTTCCAGGGGCTCACCACCCTCACAGAGCAGAATTTCCTCCTGAATATCCAATCTCAGCCGATTCTCTGCCAGTTTGAAGCCTTCCCCCGTGTCCTCTCACCACCTCCCTTGCAGATAATGTGAGTCTAACACACAAAAACCACACACAAGATCCTCAGGCACTTGGATGACTGTTCCACACCTCCCAAAAAGTTTTTTTTAAATAAAATAGCCTCTTTTTTGCAAGGTTTGAAAGATGAACAAGCTGCCATGACTTCATCACATCCCTCCAGCCCCACCAGAGCACAAATCTCCCAAAATACATCCGAGATGGTTTTGCTACTCCATATTTAATTTTAATTAAAACACAAACACAGAGAGTTCCCTACCTGCCAGTGACACGCCAGGTGGATGTTCCTGCTGCGGGGATTTTGCAGCTCACAAAACAAAAATGCTCCTTGTGTCCTGCCCTCCACATCCCCCGTGGTTGCTTCACCTGATTTTGGGCTCTGTTACCTCAGCACAGGTGTGCCACCCCTTCAGCTGGCTGGGGATTCTTTCCCTTTTTGGTTTTCCAAGAGGTTTCTACTCCATCCCACCCCTCCTATTTACCTTGAATCTGTTTAACAACTCCCTCCTCTCCAGCCCCTTGGAGGAAACTCGTGGTGAGTGGTGGTTCCCCCAAAGGAAGGCTGCACTTGGCATGTCACCATGTGCAAAAATAAGATTATACCACACAAAGCTGGCCTCCAAGTGCCCAGCTTTGCCACAGATAAGGCTCAGCATGCAAATCAAGCACTTTTTATTTCAAAAAATAAAATCCCTCCCCAGCTATAGGTGCAAAAGGCAGAGTTTTAGGACAAGCTTTATGGTGCAATTTGTTTCCATCAACTTTAGCTGAGTGAGTGGATCCAGGATTTCTCACAGTAAAACAGGTCAGGGTGGGAATGGGAAAAGATATTTCCGTTCTTCAAAGGCAGAAAAACAATTTTTCATCTTTTCTGACTGGATACAGCTAAAGAAGATTACAACTGGTATGATTGCTTTTGGCAGCCTAGTGTTTGACCTATCATTCTGTAAAAATGTAACTAACCCTCCATATATTGACTGTCAGGAATTTTCCCCCACGAGCTTTTTGTTCTCCTCCACCTACTTGAGATGGAAAAATTCACCGTATAGATGTGCATTTAAAGCTTCCTTGGCCTATTTCATCAACAGACAGAACAGATTAAAGTGAATAGAACATAAGCACAGCTCAGAACTCTGTCTGCTCACAGGATCCTGGCTTGGAAAGGACCTTACAGCTCACCTCATGCCATGGGCAGGGACATCTTTCACTAGGCCAGGTTGTCCAAGCCCTGTCCAACACGGCCTTGGATGCTTAGACTAGCTCAAATTCAATATTAAATTTCAGTCTAGCTGCTCCAGGTGCAGCCTGTGCTTTAGGAACTCCCTAAAACCCAGTTTGCCAAGAGTTGGGAGGACAAAAAAACCTACATTTATAAACAATTATGGCCTCTCACCCTTGCCAGTGACCAGGCACAGGTGTGACAACGCTTTCTTTTGTTGTCATCGCACCCTGAGCATCTCAGCTCCACCAGGTCCCTGATTTCTCCATCACCAGGGGAAAATCTCCCCAAACTCCCTCCACAGGCCTCTCCTCACATGCAGAGCACCCCCAGCTCATGCCCACACTGGGATTTCCTTGGGATTTTTGTTGGTGACCAACATCTTGGCCCACGCTGGAAAATCCAGATGAATGCAGCCCCGTGCAGTTCCCTCCTGGCTGCTTTAAGTTTAACTTTTCCTGTTTACCTTTTAATTTAATGTATTCTTTTGATCTCTCTTCCTCTCCTTTCTCTTGTCTCCCCGAGTTTGCTGACACAGGAGAAGCATGACAAGCTCAGACAGGCCTAACCTACTTTTTCCCTTTTCTCTGGTACATGTGAATGCTCCCACTCTCCTTCCCAGCATATGAAAGCACATTCCAAGGATCATTATAATGATATTTCCAATCCCCTGTGAAGTAATTCCCCCACTGACAGGTGAGGAAACTGAGACACACAGAGCTCTTCAATTACTTGCCCCCCAAAATTACAGCAGCACAAGGGGAAATAAAACCCACCAGGCTCCTGCTTTTCTTGGTCCAAAATCTGTATAAAATTCTCATTCCTCAACCCATCACAGGCTTGGGAAATGCCTCCATTCCTAAATAGAGAAACAGCAGAATTGTAGGTGTCTATCACAGGGCTTTGCACATTTCTGGGGTTTAATTGCAGCTGAGGGACTCTGGTCACCCTGTCCTGGGAGCTGCAGGCTGTGCTGGCACCTGAGAGCTGCAGAGGGACTATTGTAAATGCAGGTGAACTCAATGGGAAGAAATGATGATTTCTGACTCAATTCAGAAGGCTGAATTATTCTTTATTACAACTATGCTAAAATACATTAATATACTATATAAAAGGAGGATACTAAAACTACATACTATTTTTTCTAACTCTATCAACTCGTGACCCTCTCTGAGAGCCCAGCCCCAGGTGGGTTGGATTGGCCACCAGCTCAAACAATCCTCACCAGAATCCAACCAAGCATCACCCCAGGTAAACAATTCCACATGGGAAAAACAAGGAGCAGAAATAGAAATTGTTTTCTCTTCCATTTCTCTCTGTGCACCTCTATGAAAAATCCTGAGAGGGAAAGAGAAATGTGCTTGCCACAAGGGACTGGGGACAAGGGATGAGGGACAGGACACAGGGAATGGCTCCCACTGCCAGAGGGCAGGGCTGGGTGGGATTTTGGGCAGGAATTGTTCCCTGGCAGGGTGGGCAGGCCTTGGGATGGAATTCCCAGAGCAGCTGTGGTGGATCCCTGGCAGTGCCCAAGGCCAGGCTGGAGCACCCAGGGACAGCAGAAGGTCCCTGCCCATGGCTCTGGGTGAGCTTGAAGGTCCCTCCCAACCCATCCTGTCATTCCATGCACTTTGTTTTTCATCCTTACCATGGATATCCCTCAGCCAAGCTGGTTTCCCTCCTTGCATGGGATAATCAGTGCTGAGCCACAAGCTCGACTTGACAGAAATCAGATTCCCAGTTGCGACACCAACTAAAATTCCATCACTCCCTCCAAGGCACAGAAAAAAAACCTCAGCATTTACAAATCTGAACTTTCAAAAGCAAGAACACCTTTAAAATTAGCCTAAAATTACCTGAATTCAGATACTGACACCTTTGGGGTTCATATTCTCAAAGATGTTCTCTGCAACACCTTTTTTTTTCTCGTGAAAGCTGAAATTAGCACATTATCTTGGAGTCTGAAGAGCAAAATAAGCCAAGTACTGCAAGGAGAGAATGATAAAATCAAAAGTGGACTTTGGGCATCTGCACCAGAGGACTCAAGATAACCAAACTATATCAATTTTTGAGGTGAGTTAGTTAAGAACTGCTGAAAACCCTGTTTAGACCTCACAATCAGAGTGGCTTGGATTTGGTTTCACTAAATTTAGTTTGGAACCAAGTCAAGTTTACACAAAATCACTTCCACCAAGAACCAGAGCGACCACAAAGGGGCTCAGTGCACTCCAGTTCACTTTATCTGTGCATCACCACTTCAATAAAAATTAACTTCTGCCCACCCCAGTGCAGACAATCCCACAGTTCTTTACACCTACAGGTGCAATAATGCTCCTTTTCCAGCTCAGTTTTGCTTCTGCTCTAATGTTTCATTATCTCCAACACAGCAGCAGCCACAGCACTCCAGAAAGAAATCAATTCTCCCTTTGCTCCCAGCTCTAAATGCATGTATTCCATAATCAGCCTCACAGAACACACATTTGGGACTGGAGCACATGAGAGGCCACCTCAGCTATTGAATTATTTTGGAACCATCCCTCTCAGACCCAGCTTGAGGTATTTTTTTTCCTTCATTTTGCTACCCCCCAAAAAAAAAAAAAAAAAAAAAAAAAAAAAAAAGAAAAAGAAAAAGAAAAAAAAAGAAAAGAGAGTGATGTTTTTAGTTGATAAGATATTAATTAATAAAATCTCAGCTGCTTTAATGGGATGCTTTTCAGTCCTAAAAATCCCCCTCCACACCTTAGACATCTAATCTAGAGGGTTTTGGTGTGCTGGTGTTCTCTGCTCCTGCCAGCAGCCCTGGGATTGGTTTCTCCCCTCACTGACTCCTGAGCGCTCCAACACCTTTCTAGAGCACCCAAAAAAAGAGGAAAAAAACCCCAAACCTCCAGAACAGCAAGGAAACATGAACTGGATTCAGTGCTGACAGCTCTGAGGGTCTAAAGGAGGAGAATTCCCACAGCACAGCTGCTCCTCAGAGGGCACTTGCACTCCACTGAGAGTGTTGAGCATTTTATTTATTCTATTTTTCCTTTCTTTAATTTCCAAAGGTGCATGCGGGGAGAAAATATCAATTAAACAAAGGCTGGGATGATGTGGAGATGAAACTGAGTCTCAGAGCAGGAATGTTCACCCTGTCCCACACCACCTCTGCAGCAAGAGCTGAAACCTCTGCCAAAGCCTGGATTTCGGGGAGGGAATCACAAAAATCACCAAGCTGCCAACATCAGCTCATAAGGGAAGCACAAAAGCGTTTTGGTAGAGGTGGCACGAGGGAGGGAGAAACACTGAGAACCTCAGGTTCACTCCAGCTCATGAGCTGCCCGTTGTTTTCCACTTCAACTAAAACATTTCCTCGAGGAAAAATCAGGGAAATAACATTTTCTCCAGTGAAATGCTCCCAAAAAACCCCATGGGAGTCTGAGTGTTTCAGAGAAGTGTTGAACCCCAACCCAGGGCTGGTGCCATGTATCTGTTAAGGATTAATATTTCTTCCTTTTGCTTTCAGGTTTTCTTTGGAGGTCCAAGAAATCATTCAGAGGAGCACCCAGGGTATTTTCTGTGCTGGAGCTGCTTCTCCTTCCCTCCCTCCCCCTGTTTTAGGAGAGTGGCAATGCTCTGAAAAGGCCGGATCTTGGCTGACTTTATTGCTGTTGGGGGACAGTAAAAAGTAAAAGTAAAAGTAAAAAGTAAAAAGGGTGAGACCCATAAACACAAAGATGCCAAGATACCTGGAGGCTGCAGCTGGAATGCCCAACCCTGGCTGCTTTGTTCCCTGGGAATAATCAATATATTGGCACAGATCATATCTGTGTACATATGAGGAAAGTGGAGGTGCAAAAAGATACAATTTAATTTCTTTAATTTCTTATTTCTCTGTGTACCTTCCATAAATCCTAAACCATCTTTTTGTTCACGTTTCTACTCTGAATTGACACCACCTGTTCTGCTTTTTCCCCTTTACAGGTGCTACCAAAATATTTCTGCACAAAATCTTTGGCGTAAGAAAACCAAACATTTATGGCTGTGGCCCATGGACCCACTCGAACCCAAATCCCACAGAAAATAACCAGATTTAACTGGAAATTTTGGTTGAATTTTCACTAAATTCATCTATCCCAGGCTAATTCAGTGCTTTCTGTGGCAGCAGCTCCCAGAAAATCACCTGGAAATTAAATAAATGCAGCTCCAGAGTGCTCTGCGTTCCTCTGAATCCTGCTGGCCCCACAGCAGAACCCCAGGCCAGCTGCTCCTGGCTCAGCCCTTCTGCAGGATGAGCCCTAAATTCCCAGGGAAAGCAGTAAACTGGAATGATGCAAACTCACCTTTTGATAAAACCCCTCCTGTGCTGCAGAACCCTGACCTGAGCAGTGCGAAGCGCAGGAAATCACCCCAAACCATCACCCTCATCACACCGGGCATCCAGGATCCACGGATCTGATCCAAAACCTCAGGGCGGCACAGGATGCTCAGATTTCCTCCAAGGGAACTCAAGAGCAACAAGTTTTTCCCTGGAGAAATCCAGTTATTGATGAGTTAGGTGGGGCAGGAGGCAAAGGCTGCAGGGCACAGGCAGGGCATGAGAGAAAACCCCACTGTGAGAGAGCCCAGCAGCTTCAGCTCAGGACTTGCAGAGTTTAAACCTCATTTAAATTTACATTTAAGTCTATAAAAGCTGAATAGGAAAGTAAATGTGATACAACGCAAAATAAAATTGAATTAACTTAAAAAATAATCCATCACCCTGCCCACCAAAATGAGTTTCCAGCACAAAACCAAACCATTTGCCCATCCACACACAAATTTCCAGTGCTCAGCTCCAAAAACACTCCCAGGCCGTCAAGGTGAGCCTTTTTCATTCAGGTTCACAAACTAAGATGTCATTGTAAGTGGTTTAGAAGCCCAGCAAATTTTAATATCCATGCCAGCGTGTGTGACCAAAGGGATTACCCACAATGGCTCACCTGATTAGTTATACAAATTCCTGCCTTTTTTTCCTCTTTTTTTTTTTGTTTGTTTTTTGTTGTTTTTCTTTTTTTCTTTCCCCCCTTTTTAATCCAACACTGTGCAGAATGCCAGGCAGGAGAATGGGCTGTGTGCTGGAATGTCTGAGGGCTCCAGGCTCGGGATTTATATTCCATGCTGAATTCATTGTTCTCCCTCCTACCCCTGCTGCCCTCTAAAATACGCTGCAGCCATGACAGAAATAAATTAGCCTGAGGTACAGGTCACACCTTCAAGGGCAGGCAGAACTCTGGGTAAAATCAATAGAGAAGATGGGAGTCTCTAACAGCTGAAGCAGAAAGAATGACACATTGAGGGCTTTACACATCCCCAGACAAAGGCACTTTGGAGAAACCCCGGTCCCTGCTGCCTGGGGAACACAAAGCTCGTTTTTTCAACCACCTGAACCCCGAGAGCAAGTCAGAAAAGCCCCATTTCTATGCAGAATTTGCATCTCGATGCAGAAAGTTCCATTTCTTTGCACCTCTGCCCGGGGAAGGGGGTTCAGATGCTGAACTCTGGCCCAGGTTTCAGCTCGAAAAACTTTTTTTTGCAGAGAGCAGAATCTGCACTGAACTTCAGCTTAAATTTTGCTTTACTCCCCAACCTCAAACAAACAAAAAAAAACTCCCCTGAACTTTGGTGCACTCCAAAACAGACACTGAAATATGTTTGACATTCATTACTTTAATTTGTGATTTGAAAGCAATGGATAATACATTCAAAGCCATTGAGAGCCTCAAACTCAGGCTTCAGAATCTCTGAATGCTGGCTCCTCTGAAATCAGGAGATGGAAGATTTATAAGGATTTGGATATGGGAAGATTGATGCAGGAGTCAAGTGGGTTTTGCTAATGTCCCCATGGTGAGTTAAGTATTAACTCTCAGAGTGAGGCTCACAACCTGTTCAGACACTTCACAGATCCCACGGGGTTCCCACCTGCCTTTCCAGGTTCCTAAAAGCTTTAAAGGCTGATTTAAGCTCCCACAATACTTCTATAAATAGGAGTTAAACTTCTCAGTCCCGCAGGAGTTTCTGAAATTGCTGCCCAGGAGGTTTCTCAACAGACAGAGCTAAAAGCTTTTCTCCTCTCCTGTCCCTCCCAGACTTCTCCAGAGACAACTCTGGCCCAAATGCAGCTGGATCTAAATCCAAATGAACCCTTATTTTCTGCAAAGCCAGCAGGAAAATGCCAAATAAATAACTTTCCCCTGACCTCCTTGTTTGTTTGCCTTTTTAAAAACCCCACACAACATTAACACATGTCTTGTGCTTTGATCTTGTTTTAGACTCAGTCTTCCACTTATGGCAAAAGAAATCTTATTTGTACTTACATTTGTGGAGCCTGTGTGGCAAATGGAATTGCTTTCATTCCCACTGCTACCTGCAAAAATAAAGGGAGGAATTCACCATTTACACCAGGAATTGTTTTTTGTTCACAGTCACTGTCTCATGTCTCAAAAAATGCAGCAACACCTGCAACACCTCTCTGCCTTTTAGGGGAAATTGGGGTAAATTCAACACCTTGAGGGAAAAGGTTTTATTATGAATTTGTGAAGAGGTTTCCAACTCCTCCATGGCTCATTCCCTGCAGCCACTTCCATGTGCTGGTCCTGGGGACAGGGAGGTGGGACAGAAGCACATTGTGGATGTTCCCAGGGGTGTTTCAGGGCACGTCATCCTGGGCAAACATCAGGCACAGGAGCCTCCAGCGACCTGCCCTGCTGTTCCTTGGCTCTTCTCAAGGACAAGAGGGTGATGATAATGCACATTTCTGCCTGAGATACCTCAAACACTGCCCGAGGCACCATTTGCAGTTTTCCCCTTACACTTCCGCTCTAGACATGAAAAAATACAGTTTTTAATGCCTCCTCCAAAGAGATTCCACATCCTCATCCAGTGCAGCTTCCTTAAAAATAAATAATCTCTTGTTTTCCACCTCCCTGAGCCCTCCCACGTGGAGAGTCCTGTTCTTGGGAGAACATCCCAACAAGCACAGGGTCCTTTGCCTGCACAGATCACGTTTAGGAATGTGATCCTTCCTAAATCCCATTTAGGATGTAGGAATGACCCATCAGAAATACCCCCATGTGGGGCTGCCTCTCCTTCCCAAGAGATTTAGCCAGGATGGATCTTGACATCCTGATCCTCAAAATGCTCTGAGAAATCCCCATCTTCAAAAAAAAAAAAAAAGAGGATGTGTGAGCACCGGGAGGTGCCTGAAGTGCCCCAGAATTCCAAGAGCACCAAATTCCTGCTCTGCTCATCCCAAGACAGGAGCAGCCCCTCAGCTCGAGGGGATGGGACCCAGCCCATTCCTCTCCTGCTTCCTCCATCCAAATTTCACCTCTGCCTCTTGATTGTGGCTGGATTCAGATGGAGACATCTCCATTTCAACGAGAAAAACCATACATGGAACTTTGAAGGGTTTTCCCTATTTAAGGGTTTTTTCCCTATTTAAATAGTTAAAAAAAAAAAAAAAAAAAGGATTCAGCACAAAAATGGAAGACAGAAAATGAGCTTTAGGAAAGGTAAATGAAACCTTAGAAAGACCTGGGCCTTTCCAGGAACTGTGGAATTCCCCTCCCTCGGTTTAGAAATAAAGAAAGATTTAAATGCAACCAACAAACAGGAGCAGACTTGCCTTGGGAATACCTGGGGAGGTGGAGGAAGAAATGAATCTCTATTTAAGGATGAAAACAAAGAAGGACAGGAGACTAAATGGATTATTGGCCAAAACCTGGCTGATCCTCATTTAATGGATCTGAGTATTCCACATCACAGGTGAAAGTCTTGGCTCCGTGGGCCAAGAGCTGTTTTCCATTTCCAACTTTTGCAAACCTACAGATTTCAAAATTTCAACCCTGGGGAGGGAAATTAAATAATCACAAATATTTCCTGTCCTGAATTATAATTTCCACATGAAGTGGGTTTGTACATAGCTGGATTAGTGCAATTTGGATACCTGCAAAGGAACAAAGGGGGACCTGAATATTCCACATCACAGGTGAAACTCTGGCCTCTGTGTAGCTTTTCCTTCTTCCAACTTTTGCAAACCTACAAATTACAAAATTTCAACCCTGGGGAGGGAAAATAAAAAATCACAAAATATTTCCTGTCCTGAATTATACTTTCCACGTGAAGTGGGTTTGTGCAAAGCTGGATTCGTGCACTTTGGATACCTGCAAAGGAACAAAGGGGGAGGCCACGTTGTTGGTGCCTGGATGAGGACAATGCTTTCCCTTCCCACGGCCTCTGGATCTGGGATCAATCCCAGGCACCAAAAGTCCGTGTTTAAAACTCAGAGGAGGATGTGCAGCTTTGCAGCCTGGCTTTATTCATCTCTCAAAGCACAAGGCTTTTTTTTTTTTTTTTTTTTTCTCCCATAAATATGCAAAGTGCCTTGCAAAAGACCCTCCCCATTTCCCAGGAAATGGAGGGATGGAATGTACAGGGGGAGCGAGCCCCATGGCCACAGCGTGTCCATCTGCAGCACCACCATCCCCACCAGGCCCCCAAATCAAAAGGCAGAGACATTTCCCCAACCTTCCCTCATCAAAAACTCCCTTGGATCTCAGGGGGTGGATGTGGGGAAAGATCAGAGAGCTTCAGCTTTGGGTATTTGCAGATTCCTCCTGCCTGGCCTGGCTGCTCCCCGTCCCTCCAGGCAGGTAATCCCAGTGGGAATCCCCCAGGAGATCCAGCAAAACCCACTCCTCCTCTCCCCCTCTGCACAGAGGGGGGTGTGCAGAGGATTTTTAGCAAAATTCATGGAGTTTGCAAAGATATTTTCCACTCCTAATGCTCCAGCTAGGAGTTATTCATCATACCTGCTATCCCTTTTTTTCCTACTGAGATCCTCTGCATGGGGTAACTCCCAATTTAGAACAACCAAAAAATAAATATTCAGCTTTTAAACACAAGAATTTCATGTTTGCACGTGTTTTAACTCGTTTCTTCTGTTTATAAAACAAATATCCAAGTCTGTACCCACAAACACACAAACTTAAATCCCAACTTTTGATAAACCACGTAACTATTCCCAAGTATATCCGAGGACAAAATTTAACACCAGGAGCTGCCAAATGTTTCTGACCCACTTCAAACAATCATTAACTACAGGCAGCTTCTAATTATTTAAGTCCATTTCACTTCTTATTCAGTGGTCGTTTTGTTTCTTGGCCATTTGGCCTATGTTCCAAAAAATCTCCATTAGGCAGCACAAAGTTTCACAAAAAGAAGAAAAATTCTCTTTTCCCATTCTAAGGTTGGGAATATTTTGAATCCTTGAGAGACAGGAGTTATAAATATGCTTTTAAAAGCAAAAAATAGAGAGCACTTAAAAATTGAAAAGCTTAAAAATTCAGCCACTGAGTAAAATTTAGTTATCAACAAAATTGCTTTCTCTCACCTCTCTGCTAACAGTTTTGCAAATCCTTTTCCAGAAAGAACTGCAAAATGTATTAAAAGGCAAAAAACATTGATGCTGGGACTGGGAACAATCACATGAACAAGCCACAAGATTTGCTTGATAACACAGAGTTTATTATTCAAGAACGAGTCTCATTTTCAGCTCTAAGGCAGAGGGCGGGGAGAGAAAGGGGGGAACGGGTTTTAAAGCACATGCTGGAAGCCCAGGATTGCATTTAGAGCAAAAAGAAGAAAGAGAAGAAAAAGTAACGAAAACAAATCTCTGTTCTATCAGCAAGTCGACTTTGCAAAAGTTAAGCTCAGCTCCCAGCAAATTTGGGTTGTTTTCACTTAAACCAAGTTTACCTTCAGCAGAGAGAATGAACAAGCAGAGAACTGCTGAATTTTTTTAATTTTTTTTTCCTTTTTTTCCCCCCAAAAGTTCAGCTCTGCTGAAGATGGGAAGGGATAGAGGAGAGCAGAAACAGGGGGAGTTCAAAAGTCACAAAAGCTGCTCGCAAAGTTCCTCTGCGCCCCCTCGTACTGACCTAAGCAGTCTTCGTTTCACAGGTACCAAAGTTTTGTCTCCTTCTCCAGGGCGAGATTCCCACTGGCAGGAAAGCATCAAAAGAACATTGTTTGCACTCCTCCGAGGAGGGAAGGGAAAAAAGCAGCCCAGGCAGGTAGAGTTTCTTCCTGAAAAGTAAATCCGGCGTTCTGGAAGGAGTTCAAACCTCGGGCTTGACAGGCAGGAGAGCGAAGCTTTTCGCACTGAGCATGCTTCGTCCTGCACTGCCTGCACACTTAATGAACATTACTTCCTTCCCAGTGGTTACTCCTAGCAGAAATCCACACCCCCTCTTTTGAGAAGTGAGGAATGCAGCTGAAACCAAAGTCCAGAAAACATGCCCGGCACCCAGACAAGGCCCCACGGATCAATAAACTCAGGTTGTGACCCGCAGGTCAGTTTGGCAAACAGGACATCAGGGTGAGTTTTTTCTACACTTGGTGGAGTTTGCTTTATGCCTCAGCTAATGCTGCTCGCTCCCCTGAGAAAATAAAACTGTGCTGCCTTTAGGAGAATGATTAAATGCTCCAATAACAGATGGGAATTCTCTTTCGAATCTTGTCTTTCCAAACCTGCTCGAAAGTGAGGAAAGAAGTTGTGCTGTTTTTCTTTTTTGGACTCCTGAACAAAAGCTGTTTGAATTTGTCGTAGGGAAGGAGTATCTGGTGACTGAAAAAAAAAAAAAAAGAAAAAAAAAAAAGCTCCTTTTATTTAGTTAGGGTCTAATCCTGTTCCGTTTGCAATCACATGGAGTTTTGTCATTACCTCCAGTGGGAATAGAGCTGGGGTTTTAGATTACAAATGCTTGCAGGCAAGAGCTGCGTCTACTCCAGTGACCTGCACAGGCCAGACTGGTTTTGGCACTTCAATTTGCAATTTATACCACTGCTGTGCCTGAAACCCCCCCTTCCCCAAATTCACAGGGAATTGCTGAAGAGAAGCAATTTTGCAAAATTGCATGGGTGGTTTTTAAAGCTTTTCATTGTATTTCCATTTTTTTTTTTGGGTTTTTTTTTTTTTTTTTCCCCCCTGGAGGTTCCACTTCGCTCTCACGTCTCAATCCTCCCCCACAAGAGGAGGAGAAATTTTTTGTCCTGGAGTTTCTGCTGGCCCTGACTGCCCCGTCACAGCCTCCAGGAAAAAGCCAAGTGCAAGAATTAAAATGAAATAACGCAGGCCATAATGTTGTCAGGGTCAGGAGCACTAATCCCAATCACAACTGCATGGGACATTGCACTCTGAGGCCTCTACATTTTAAAATAGGTTAAAACTCATCATGACCTCAGTGTCTGAGCAAAGCCAGGCTCCACAGGGCTGCAGGTCCTGATGTGAGCAGGACAAACCATGACAGAAATTACATTTCTGGAGTCCAAATGGCCCAGACCTGGAGAACACAGACCCAGCTTTGCCTGCAGATTCTGAAAGTGCACAGTGGGAATATATTCGCACAAATCCAGTTCAGAACCACTTTGCTCCTAAGGGCAGCCAAGTGATGTCATTTCTTTTAAAAATTGTTTCCTTGCCCACACATCTCTGGTTTCCCTTGTTTCCTTCAGGATCATAGAAGAAAAAGTCCAAATCCTACATGACAAAACCAAGCTGTGCTGCATTTCCAGTGCACAGAGCTTGAAGAGGTTTTGGAAACCCCCAGAGAAAGTTTTGGGCTGGTTTGGAGAAGCAGCCATGGCAGGCTAATTAAACCCAAATGCAGTAACCAAAAAGCTTTTCTCTGTGCTGTTTCCACTTCACATCACAAAGCTTTCCTTTGGTCAGGAAACTCCCTGGTTCCCCTCAGCTGCATAAAGTCCCTAACAGGGGATTTTCCTAACAGGCAGCTAAATTGAGTTTTATCTCCCCTGGAACATCTCAGAAGCTTTTCTGAGATGTGCCAGGAACTAAAATCAGGCGTTCACTGATGTTCATGGCGAGCAGGGGCACAGGGGCTGAAAGGAGCTCTGAGCTGATGGACCCAAGGCTTAATCACAGAGCGGTGATTTTAATCACAGAGTGGTTATTTTAGACATCCTCTTGTCCCTCAGCTCTTCAGAAAACCCAAAAATGGTTTGGGTTTGCTCATCCCATGGGCAGGGACACCTCCCACTATCCCAGGCTGCTCCAAGTGTCCAAGCAACCTGACTTGGGACATTTCCAGGATCCAGGGGCAGCCACAGCTTCTCAAGTAACGTCAGGGAGGGTTTAGGTTGGATATTAGGAAAAAATTTTTCACCAGAAGACTAATAAAGCTTGGAATTGTCTTTCCAGGGAGGTGGTGGAATCACCATCTCTGGATGTGTTTAAAAAATGACTCGACATGGCACTTGGTGCTATAGTTTAGTTGTGGTGTTGGGGCATGGGTTGGACTTGATGATCTTAGAGGTCTCTTCCAACCTCATTATTCTGTGATTCTGGGATTTTGTGACTCATTCTGGGATTCTGGGATTCTCTGGGCACCTGTGCCAGGGCCTGCCCATCCTCTGAGTAAAGAATTCTCCCCTCCTATCCCCGTTCCTGCAGCCCAGCTGGATGAGCAGGGCACACCTTGAGCTTGAAGTGCCACCAGGAGCAGCGAGGCACCTTTGGAGCACCCTGGTGTGACACTGGGGTGGCACCAGGCTGGGGGGACAGCACGACATGAGCCCAGGTACCCCAGAGCTGAAACGTGCCAGCCCTCCCGAGACTCACACAGGAGCTGGGTGAGATATTCTACCTGCACCCACAAACCCCACACTCAAAATCCCAAACCCCACACTAGAAATCCCAAACCCCATGCTCAGAAATCCCAAACCCCACACTCAGACATCCCAAACTCCACACTCAAAAATACCAAACCCCACACGCAAAATCCCAAATCCCAATTCTCACAAATCCCAAACCCCACCTCACAAGCCCCAAACCCCACACTCAAAAATACCAAACCCCACACTCAGACATCCCAAACCTCATGCTCAGAAATTCCAAACCTCACACTCAGAAATCCCAAACCCCACACTCAGGAATCCCAAACCCCACACTCAAAAATCCCAAACCCCACACTCAGACATCCCAAACCCCACACTCAAAAATCCCAAACCCCACCCTCACAAATCCGAAACCCCACACTCAGGAATCCCAAACCTCATGCTCAAAAATACCAAACCCCACACTCAGAAATCCCAAACCCCACACTCAAAATCCCAAATCCCAATCCTCCCAAATCCCAAACCCCACACTCAGACATCCCAAACCCCACGCTCACAAATCCCAAACCTCACACTCAGACATCCCAAACCCCACACTCAAAATCCCAAACCCCACCCTCACAAATCCGAAACCCCACACTCACAAATCCCAAATCCCAATCCTCACAAATCCCAAACCCCACACTCAAAATCCCAAATCCCAATCCTCACAAATCCCAAACCCCACGCTCACAAATCCCAAACCCCACACTCAAAAATACCAAACCTCATGCTCAGAAATCCCAAATCCCAATCCTCAAAAACCCTGCACCCCACCCTCCCACAGCTGCTCCTGCAGCACCCCAGGGCTGCTGGCTGCATTTTCCTGGTGGATCCCCAGGCCTGGGAGCTGCAGGCACATGGCAAATGCGCCGTGTGTGTCACACCAGGATGAGCAGGCTGCTGATTCCCTTCATGCCTAATTACCCAGCAGCGCCTGGCACCGTGATTTATTTAGCACAGCTCTCAGACAGGTCCCGTGTCCAAGTGGAAAACGCTCCCTCCCCTTTTCCTGCCGCAAGGAAAATCTGCCAGGGCATCCGAGGCCACAAAACTCTTCTCTGCAGGGATGTAGGAGAAATTGGATGGACCACTGGATGCCAAAATTAGGGTGGCTGCACCTTGAAATGAGCTCAGAAATGTATCTGTATCTCCAACTGAAACATAAATTAAGTTTTATATATTAAGTGTATAGATATATAGATATATAGATATATAAATATTTAGATAGATAGATAGTTAGATAGATAGATAGATAGATAGATAGATAGATAGATAGATAGATAGATAGACTCTGTTCTGACACACAAATTACATGTTTTTGAGAGTAATTTCATCTCAAATGTGTGAAATTTGTTTCCCCACCTACAGCCCTGCAGCTGGGACAGGTCACTCCATTCAATGCCTGAGATGCTTTAGGCTGTGCAATAAATGGCAGAGAGCTGGGCAGGGTGGAAAAGAGTGGGAAAAGGGGATATTCCCCTTGTTTAGAGCTGCTAGATGGACTGTCTGCAGCAGGGAGAGGAGAGCACAGCCTCCTCCAGGCATCCCTGAGCCAGGGCAGGGCTGGGGAAGCCTGGCGGGGTGAAAAGAGCGGCCCGAGCTGCGGGCACAGGATTGCTCTGGGTTTGGGCTGCTGCCCACAAGTTGTGTTCAACCAGCAGAGCCACGGGCACAGACCTGGAAGGGGCTTCACAGGGTGAGGACAGAGCCCACCAAGGCACGGGCAGCGCGTCCAGGAGGGGACCATTGTTCCTTCAGATGCGCCACTTCCAACGAGCGCCAAACCGCCTCTCCAGAGCCAGCAGCTCCAGCTGGGACAGCTTTGCCTCCCTCTTTTCCCCCTCAGGACGCATAAAACGCGTTCCTGCTCTCCTTCCTGACACCAGAAGAGCCTGGATTGCTTCCCATTGTGCTGCGAGAGCTTGAAGCGTGGCCATGCTATTTACAGCATCTCCCTCGCCCGCGGGGATCGGAGGCGCATCCCGATTTTTCCACCATATGCAAGCAGCAGGCACTGCTGCCTGTGCCAGCAGGGCGAGCTCGGCCCTACCTGCCCGTGCTGCCTTGTGGCCGCTGGAAGCACTACAGAGGGAAAAAACTGGATTTCCCAAGGAGTTCTGTCAGCCTCCCCATTGTTCTCGGCGCTCAGTTGCGTCCATCCTTCAATTCTTGGTGGGAAAGGACAAATTAAAGCAAGGCTCTCAAGGGTGGGGCTCGGTTTCTGTTCCTCTGAACTGTCATGTTCGCTTTTGGTCGCTGGAGAGCTTTTCAAAAGGCTTTCAGTGACTCAGAAACCTCGAATCTCTTGGTTTTCAGCGGGAGTTGGGCTCCTGCTGGAGCTGCAAAAAGCATGTTCTGCTTGTGAGGGTCTGGAGAAACATCCCAGCTTTTCCATGGACATTTAACAGCCCTGGGAGAGGTTTGGGGCTGGGATGTAACTGGGGTGACTTCTGGAGTGACTTCTGGAGCCTGCTGGGGTGGGTGGAGATTTTGCTGTTCCAGCAAAGCTCATTCCAGCCTTGCACTGGGAGCAAAAGTGACCCAGGAGATTTTATTCTGATGGACAGGACAAAGAACTCAGCCAGAGATTAAATAATGGTGTGTCCCCAAATGTCTCCAAGAGAGAAACCTCCAGGAGATCTGATGGACCAGATAAGAGAGCCAAGGATGCCAAGGAGGGACCTCCAGATCTGGTACCAGAGGCAAAGTCTGACTCCAAGGGACTTTGAAAGTTAAGGAAGTTAAGGAAATTAAGATTGCAAATCCTGCTGAAGAGCTCAAACCCCCAGAAGGCAGAACCAGAGGGAAGAAACAGAGTGGAAGTGTGTGATGTGTACAAAAATGTGCCAAACTATTGGTCTCTTCCAACTTTAAGACCCACTAAAATAAAGAAGAATTTATGCATTAACTTGATGGAACACTAAATAAGAGCAGCTGGCACGTTTTCCAGTGTGCAGCAGGTAATCCAGACACGTTTAATGTTAAATTACAAGAAAGTTTAACTTTGAAGATGGTGCAAGGACGGAGCAGGAAGCACAGCAGCTCCCAAGGCTGTTCCAGCATCCCCCTGATCTTCCACACAACTTTGGGCCAGGCACTTCACATCCCTGATTAAAAGTGATCAAAGGTTGCTGTGATAAAGCTGAGACAGCAAAAAATACAGGAAAGATGCAGGCACAGAATTCAGGGGACTCAACTCAGTCTAACAAATTAGATTAACGATGATTTTTTCAGTGTC